AAAAAAAAAAAAAAAAAATTTAAAAGAAAATGTTTCCCAACCCTTGTATTAGAACATGATAAAATGGCCAGGTGCAGTGGCTCACACCTGTAATCCCAATACTTTGGGAGGCCAAAGTGGGCAGATCACGAGGTCAGGAGATCCAAGATCATCCTGGCTAACACAGTGTCTCTACCAAAAATACAAAAAATTAGACGAGCATGGTGGCAGGCGCCTATACTCCCAGCTACTCAGGAGGCTGAGGCAGGAGAATCACTTGAACCCAGGAGGCAGAGGTTGCAGTGAGCCAAGATGGCACCACTCCAGCCTGGGCAAGAGAGCGAGACTCGTCTCAAAAAATAATAATAAAATAAATTAATAGTAACTATGTTCATTATGAGAAGATTCCAAAGTCCAGTTCCAGTAGAATATTAACAATTTCCTACTTGGGGTACATTAGTTTTAATTTACTTTGCTTTTACTAAAATGTCTTCATGATTTAAAAATTGGAAAGAATAAAAATTTAAGAATCAAAACAAAAGAAACTTTTATAAATTGAACTTACTTTCAGAACTGGATTTAATATATTTCATTGCAACAAATCTTGCAAAATGATACATCAGATGAATAAACTTAGGACCACCAGGAGAAAGAAATAGTGAACCAACAACTTGAGGAAAGCTACTTCCACATTCACCCTATGAAGAAAAGAAATAAGATGATTTGAAGATATTAACAGTAGCTCTTACATTTACATCACACTATTTTTTTAAAGGGTGTGACAGTCTTGTAGTAGAAGCCCCACATTTTCATGAGCACTACGCTGTAGGTTGCCATGGGGCTCCCCAGTACCTCTTCATAGCAGTGGCTTGGACATATCCAACTTTGTAGCAGAGTGCAAAGCAATCCAAGGGGGTGAGGCCCCCAGCCCACTGTCCTCTCATCATACTTTCTTTTTTTTTTGAGCTGCAGTTTCACTCATTGCCAAGGCTGGAGTGCAATGGTTCGATCTTGGCTCACCAAAACCTCTGCCTTCCAGGTTCAAGCGATTCTCCTGCCTTCCTCCTCAGTAGCTGGGAATACAGGCGTGTACCACCACGCCTGGCTTAAGTTGTATTTTTAGTAGAGACAGGGTTTCACCATGTTAGTAAGGCTGGTCTTGAACTCCTGACCTCAAGTGATCTGCCCGCCTCGGCTTTCCAAAGTGCTGGGATTACAGGTGTGAGCCACCACGCCCAGCCTGTCATCATACTATTTTTGAAGCATAAAAGAATTTGATCAGGGCTGGGTGCAGTGGCTCATGCCTGTAATCACAGCATTTTGGGAGGCCAAAGCGGATGGATCACTAGAGGTCAGGAGTTCAAGACCAGCCTGGCCAACATGGTGAAACCTCATCTCTACTAAATATACAAAAATAATCTGGGTGTGGCGTTATGTGGCTGTAATCCCAGCTACTTGGGAGGCTGAGGTGGGAGAATCCCTCAAGCCTTGGAGACGGAGGCTACAGTGAGCCGAGATTGCACCATTGCACTCTAGCCTGGGCGACAGAACGAGACTCCATCTCAGAAATAATAATAATAATAATAATAATAAAGAATTTGATCAGGATTATTCTATTTAAACCACAAGTTAAATGTTTTGGTTTTTCTAAACCCTAAGTGGACCTGGTCAGAAAAAACAACTATAACAATAGAGACAATCATTGATATTACCTAGGGAAACAAACTATAACAATACATGGTTGGTTGAAAAAGTTTTCTTTAAACAGAAACTATGCTCTAAACACTCAAGAACTCTAAAACCTACTTTCAGTGCACCTGGCCAGCAAAGCTGGTTTCTTCGAAATACATAGAATCCCAACCAAAAACCATCAAAGAAGACTATTCTAACTAATATTTCCTTGCTTATACTGTTAGCATTAAAGCATTAAAAAGATTTCTAAAAAGTTAAAGAGTTAAAGTCGTTTTTAACTTCTTAAAGTCTGTATCTTCTAACAAAAAGAATACTTACAGAAATCCTTTTTATCCATTCACAGCAATGTTTTCGGAATTCAGTATCACTTTTTTGGTCAAATGGGGGCCAACAAAATCTGGAAAACAAAAATAAAAGCATTAGGATTATGCACAACAATAGCAAAAAAAAAAAAAAAGCCAATCTTAGCAAAGTTTGTTTTTTGTTTTTGTTTTTTTTGGTTTTTTTTAGAAAAAGAGCTGGGAAAGTACTTGTCTCCTTTATTGAATATCTGCAGGAGGCACCTCTGCACTGACCAGGCAGCAGAGAAGAAAGCAGGCAGGCTGTGGGGGATAGGGGAGCATGGGGCAGGAGATGTCCACCCTCATTTCCAGTCCTTGAAAAATTGCTTGAAGATGGGAGTCTCACTCACAGCCCTGGAGCAGAATCTCCACCTGAGTGTTTAGGGCATACCACATGTGCGAGATGAAGCCCTCAGTCACTTGCAGGGCTGCCTGCCACTCCTTCTCATTTGCTTTTCGTCCCTTCCAGATATAGATCTTGCCACAGAGCCACTGTCCAGCACAAAGCAGTCATCAGACATCAGCAGTTCAGGAGCAAAGGGGCTGGAGTCAGTCACCTTGGTCAGGTTCATCTGTCCAGTGGCATGAGAGACCTTATACAGAGCCGTGGCCTGGGCATTTGTCTGGTCAGCTGTGAGGTCTTCCTCAGGGTTGCCCTCCTTGAGAGAAGGCTTGGGGCCCAGAACCTGGATCATCTCATCAGGCTCCTCCCCATCAGTGACAATCTCCACCTGGGCCTTGCCCTGTCGCTCACTGTCCCGGACGGCCAAGGCCAGGTCTCTCGCCTTGTTGCGTTCCAGGATGTTGGACTTTCCACCACACCAGGCAAAGATGTTCTGGCCCAGGTCCAGGATGAAGCAGTCCCCCGTGTGGAAGCTGTCCCAGCTCAGTGCCCACTCGGTGGCATGGATGTTCTTCTCCCCTTCACCTGGTAGAGTTTCTTGACGGCAGCTGGGGCTACTGAGGAGGTCTTGTGAAATGCTGACTCCACATCACCTTCCTGGTACTTGAGGCCCTGTGGGAAGTAGCTCATGAAGAGATTGGACTCACTGCCCTGCACCTCACGGTGCTGCACAGGCCGCTCTCCCAGCAGTGTGTTGAGGTGCACAGCCAGCACAGCATAAGCCCCCTGCTCATGCCAGGATGACTGCTGGCCTATCCACAGGTGCAGATGGGAAACCTCTTCTGGGCCATTGTACAGCAGTAGGTAGAAGTCCCCCGAGGAGAAGAAGACACCCTGGTTCTCTCGCACCACAGGCACTGGCTTCAGCTTCTCCACCCTCCACACATGCAGGCCTGGATCCTGCACTGAGGCTGAAAATGGACAGCCACTCGGGAATGACTGTGTACATGCTGTTTTCAGATCTGCCAAGGCCTTGATCCCCTCAGCAAATTTTTTAAAATTCAAACTTGTTTCCCATACCAGAAATATTAACATGTGGCCAGGCGCAGTGGCTCACCTGAGATCACTAGAGGCCAGGAGTTTGAGACCAGTCTGGCCAACATGGAAAAATCCCATCTCCACTAAAAATACAAAAATTGCCGGGCGCGGTGGCTCATGCCTGTAATCCCAGCACTTTGGGAAGCTGAGGCGGGTGGATCACGAGGTCAAGAAATCGAGACCATCCCGGTCAACATGGTGAAACCCCATCTCTACTAAAAATACAAAAAAGTAGCTGGGCATGGTGGCGCACGCCTGTAATCCCAGCTACTCAGGAGGCTGAGGCAGGAGAATTGCCTGAACCCAGGAGGCGGAGGTTGCGGTAAGCCAAGATTGCGCCATTGCACCCCAGCCTGGGTAACAAGAGCGAAACTCCATCTCAAAAAATAAAAATAAAAAATAAAAAATAAAAAAATTAGCTAGGCATAGTGGCACACACCTCCAGCCTCAGCTACTTGGGAGGCTAAGGCACAAGTGTCACCTGAACCCAGCAGGTGAAGTCTGCAGTGAGCCAAGATGGCACCACTGCACTCCAGCCTTGGTGACAGGCTGAGACCCTGTCTCAAAAGAAAAAAAATTAAAGCAAAATGAATTAAAGCTAACATTCTTAGATAACAGATAGAGAGACACCAACCTGTGAGATATTATTTTTTTTTTTTTTT